CGGAAAAAACAATATTTTTCTCAGCAGGGGCCGGCCATATGGTGAGAACAAAACACTTTGCCTCCAATCACTAACTAGGGCACATCAAACTCTCATCATATTTTCATTAAATATCCTTCCCACCTCAAAGATATCAAAGACTTCTCAAGGAGGCAGACAAACTTGAATTTGTATATATGTAGATGCTGAGCCGGTAAAGTTTTGAAGGCAAAACAGTATGGCAGAAGAATTGAAGCTTTTCAAGAAAGGTCAAAGTCCATATGGCTTAAGAATTGTTTGGGCGTTGAAGCTCAAGGGAATCCAATTTGATCCAGTGGATGAAGATCTATCCAACAAGAGCTCTTTGCCTCTTCAGTACAATCCTGTCCACAACAAAATTCCAGTGCTCGTGCACAACGGCAAGCCAATCTCGTAATCTCTTGTAATCCTTGAATATATTGATGAGAAATGGAAGCAAAATCCTTTACTGCCAGAAGAACCAAGCGAGAGGCCAAGAGCACGCTTTTTGGCCACATTTTGTGATGATAAAGTAAAATGTATCCATGCTCATGATCGTTTTAGTAAAACAGAGACTATTAAATTGAAAGGACTTGTCTTATCTGATGGTTTGTATTATATAATTTTTTTGTTTCTATTAACAAAAAGTAATATATTATAAAAAAATACAAGAAACACTATTATAAAAATAGACTATGATAGGTGCACACTCAAATTCCATACCTGCGTGTGCACCCCCCAAATAAAAAAAAAATGCCCATCATCCGGTTCAATTTTTATTTTTTTAATGTGGGGTGCACACCCAGGCACGTGGGATTCGGGTGTGCACGTATCATTTTCCTGTAAAAATATATGTTGTGCAGTTCGTTAAACATTTAGGAAGTTTCTTTTGTCTTTTTAATGTAGGTTATGCCATCAATGTGGAATGCTTTCAAGTTAGAAGGACAAGAGCAAGAAGAAGCTATTGGTTCAGCCATGGAAAACCTGCAAGTCTTAGAGGAGGAGCTGAGAGGTAAGAAATTCTTCGGCGGAGAGAAGATTAATTGGATTCGCCGATCTTGCATGCATATGGCTGGCTTGCTAACTTGATAAGCGTTTTTGAAGAGAATACAGGCATCAAGATGATTGATGAGGAGAAGTTTCCATCATTAAAGAAAGCTGGCCTTCTCATAATAAACTAGTTGCCAAGTTTCGTGCACTCGGAGAGAAATTCGTTGCTGCAACATCCAAAATTACAGGGAGGAACATTATTCATTGGTTAAACTTCTAATTTGATCTCTAAATTATTATATGAACCTTTGATTTGGTCTATAAACTAAAATAATTATTAATTTAGTTCTTAAACTATTGTATGAACCTCGAATTTGATCCATATTGTTTACTTATTTAACCTTATATTGGTCTTTTCGTATAAAAAATAATTGACAAGTTTATTACTTAATAATAAAAAATAATTATTTAACGGTTATGTATTATATTAATAACAAAACATATCAATTATTTTTGTACGAATAAATCAATTTAGAGTAAATTGATAAACAGTAAAACCAAATGAAAGTCTATATAATAATTTAAGAACCAATTTAAAGATTTTTTTAGTTCAAAGATAAAACCAGGTCCATACAATAGTTCATGATCAAATTGGGATTTAAAATCTGTGGACTCCGGATTCTGGATTCTTCTATTCCGTTGACTTCCGGATTCTGGATTCTTAACATCTATGACGTTGGTGATGACGGCAACGACTTGCACCGTCAACGTCGTGCATTGACCGTCACGTTTGTGGACTCGACCTCCAAACCGTAATTAAATCTCCTCCTAATCAACGGTACACGTGGCACGCACTTTTCGTCAATGCTCGCGATTGTTCAACTGTTCATTTTCCTATAAAAATCCCAGGCACCTAGACCCCTTTAAGCACCAAATTACTACATACGAAGAAAATCTTCAGGAAGAACCCACCAACATCAATGGCTACACTGTAAGAATCTCTGAATTTTCCCACTTCGAATTTTGAGATTTGTCTAATTCTCTCCGTTTATTCATGCATTTCTGTTTTGAGTTTTTGATTCAGAAGCAAAGAGATCTTGCTTCCACCATTGGATGCTACTGGGGTGCAACCTCCTCTTTTTGATGGAACTACTAGGTTGTATACCTGTTACACATGCCCATATTGCCAACGTGTTTGGATCACCAGGAATTACAAGGTTGTCCACAACTCTTTTTTTTTTTTTTTTTTTTTAAGGTCCCAAGCCTTCTTCTTTTTTGAATTTTTGTTGTTATTAAATTGACCCATTTGGTGTTTTCACTGATTGGACCATGTATTGGGTTGCAGGGGCTACAAGAGAAGATCAAGTTGGTTCCTTTAAACCTTCAAAATAGACCTGCTTGGTACAAGGACGTGTACCCTTCAAACAAGGTAATTTCAGTAAACCAGTTTTGCATTTCTTACAATTGCAATTCCCATTATAGTGTCTCCTGTAAAAGCTACTTTGAAACTTTACTCATGTGCTTCTTGAGTCTGATCCCAGATTTTTTTTTTTTTTTTTAATTTTTAATGATTCTTAAGAATAAGAAAAAGTAAAAAAAATTTATATCTGTTGTGGACTTGTGACTTGGTAGATCTGTTGATATTCTTTTATCCTGTTTTATTGATAATTCAGAGATAATGGTTAAGATTTTGTGGGAGTTATTCCTTGAAGTTGTTGGACAACACCATAAAAATTTATATCAAAAGTCGAAATATTTGTCTTTAAAGTTTAAGTTGTAGGTTGGTATCCGTAGATTGTTATAGGAACATATTATTTTAACTACAATGTTTTATGGTTTGCTGGTTTGGTTTTTGTTAATTAATCTAATCCTTCTCTTTCTCGTTGGTTTGAAATGCAACTCGAAAAGAAAATAATTTGTTGGTTCTGCTTCTGATATGATCCTCCACTTCATCCAGTGTTACCGTCTTGCACGTCATGATCATCGTGTTACTTGGTACTCTATTTTACTGGTAATGGTGAATGAGAGAATCTGGTTGAAGCTACTCACAGGGTAGACATAGAATAGGAAGATACTCAATGAACTGTAGGAAGGAGTTAAAATATCTAGAAAAAAGGCAGCATATATGAAGAGAACATTACTTCAATATGTTACAGTGAATTTTTCTTATTAATGAATTATTATTTTGTGTCATTTTCATTGACTTACAAGGGAGTTCCTCTTTTTTCATTTTTATCTTTAGGTGCCATCATTGGAACACAATGGGAAAATTATTGGTGAGAGTCTTGATTTGATTAAATATGTTGATAGCAACTTTGAAGGGCCCTCACTCTTCCCAGATGTAAGATGCGCAGAACTCATTTAAATGGAGGCTTCTTCTTCTCTCTCTCCTTTTCTCTATGATTGCTGAATACTGGTTTGCTGTGAAAAAATTTCAGGATCCTGAGAAGAAGAAGTTCGGTGAGGAGTTGTTTTCCTATATTGACACATTTGTTAGAACTGTGTTTTCTTCCTTCAAAGGAGACCCTGCAAAAGAAACTGGTTAGTTTGGCAACTTGCTCTCTTTATTTTTTGGGTACATTAAATTTCTTGTGTTTCGCATGTTTAATTTTGTATGTAATATGAGCTGAATAAAATTCCTGGCTTGCATCAGGTCCTGTCTTTGATTACTTAGAAAATGCTCTGCATAAATTTGATGATGGACCATTCTTCCTTGGTCAGTTTAGTTTGGTGAGCTAACTTTCCCATGATGCTGATATATTTTCCTAGCTTGACATTTCATTATTTGTTGATCTCTAATCAAGGAGCTAAATGTTCAAGCATAGAGAACATAAACTGCTTGTAATAGGTCAGAAGAAGTGCAAAAATCTTTCTGCAATGCTGAATGGTGCAATTAAAAACTGTTATCTCAGTATTTTCCTTTGTCTCATGAAGGATATTGTTTGGTCTGCAGGTGGACATAGCTTACATTACTTTTGTTGAAAGATTCCAGATCTTCCTCTCGGAGGTGTTTAAGATTGACATCACAGCTGGCAGGCCTAAATTGGCAGTGTGGATTGAGGTACGCTATAAAGCTATATATTTTGTTCAAATGCAAGCCTGTTGGCTATAGTTTAAACTTCCCATGGAAGAATTTCTCCCTCATTTCACGAAAGTTGTTGCCTGTCAACTTTGTCATTTCATCCTTGAATCTTAAGGAGTAATTGATTCAGCTGCATTTGTCAAATATTGAATCAATGGTTTGAATAACAAAGTGCCGTTGCCTTCTGGGTAGAAGTTTCTGGTTCTTGACCAATAATTTTTGTTGCTATTAAATTCCCATGCAGGAGCTAAACAAGATCGATGCATACACTCAGACAAAAATTGATCCAAAAGAACTAGTGGAAAATTACAAAAATCGTTTCCTGGTATCCACGACTCACTGACCTGTTGTATTTGAAGTAGTAATCTTGTTGATGATTATGAGGTAGTTCCTTAATTCCTTCTGTAAAATTTCGTCTGCAGGCCCAACAGTGAAATGCTTCACCTGCCCGAGACAATTACAGAATAAGTTAAAATTCCTTTGGAATGCATCTCATAATATTTTCCTTTTTTAGAATGTTTATCCAAGTTGTGTTACCTGTGAATCATGGAAATTTACCCAGCACGTTGTTAGCATTTTGTCCCTTTTTTCACTTTGATAAAGTCAGTGGACTTACACGAACCGGCTCTTCAGATCTAATGATTTGTCTCATGATCTTAATTTTAATACTTTTTGGACTTGACTTACAAATCATTGGTATTTTTTTAATCTATGGGTTTACCTATTTCTCATTTCTCTATAATTGTCTTTGTAAAAAAAAAAAGAAAAAAAGTCAGTGGACTTATTGTATGTGTCCAAAAGAATTAGGGTGTTGTGCTGTACTTTGTCTTTATGGAATAATAATCATATTTTCATTGTACGTAATTTTTGTATAATCTAAAATAATTTTGGTATGCCTATTGAAAATGGTTTGTTAACAATGTTGAAAACATATCACAACATGATTTGGCCTTGATGTAATTTTTATTGAAACTTTTTACCATGTGATGTACCCTCGATATGATTGGGTACGTGAAATAATGGATAAAATGGTATTGAGGACCTGTTAGTCTAAAAAAATAAGGTTGGTTTTTTTTTTTTAAATAAAATTTTAAATTTAACTTTTATAAATAAAAAGTTGAGAAAGAATTTCGATTATAAATTAATTAAAGTGAACGGAAAAAGAAATAGTATTTTCCATTTCATAATATTCTCTTCGTCTGTTTCAGAGATTGAATGGGAGATTATGAAGTTATTAGCCACTTCGTACAACGTCCTTAACCAATCATAAAAACGCTTGCTAGAAATCTCACAGAGGAAATTCATGGGATTACAAACACAGAGGCAAAAGACGAAGAATTCAGTTAGCACAAATCAAGCAACATCTCTGATCTTCCCGAATAAAACGAATAAAAACCCGAATTTTATTTTTATTTTTTTGGTTTTTGAGAATGTATTAATCGTCAAAAAAGGGCGGGAGGGTGGGAATCCCTCTGCTAATCAACTCGGCAATGGCGGGAAGAGCTTCATCCTCCTCCACGTTTTCGAACGCGAGAGGTACTTCCTCGCACTAACACGACACATTTAACTTTAATTCTAACTACATCTGTCCTTCAACCCTGAACTTTCGATGTTTGTTTTGACAAATTCTGATTGAGTGAGCAAGATTGCGGGAAAAAGGGGAAAAAGAAAACGCCTTTGATTGATTAATCACGTTTTCCACATTGGGGTTCTTGTTTTTGTGGTTGATGAAGGTTAATTAACATGGGAATTTGATGCTGTATGAATCTACTCTTAGATCATGGATATCGTTAATACAACTTCATGGGGTTTTAGAGGAGTGTAAATTTGGGATTCAAGGCGTGCATTTGGAGATGAGGCGCGTGGAATAGTTTACAGAGGTTGGGGTGAATCAAGAGAGAGCTATGGGAAGTAGTAAAATTGCTAGTGTTGGTGAAGTATGTTGTTGTCCTTGTTGAGCAGGCGCTCACTGGAGGTCGATTCCAGGCAAGTTCTCATTTTAAGAGCTTCATGTCCAATCTTCATTGATTTTGTGTATAAAGATCAATGAATTCTTATTGGCTTTTGTTTTTGGCCCGGAATTTGAAATATTATGTGCAAAATGATGTTGACAGGGATTCCTATGGATTTGCTGTGAGACCTCAACACATACAAAGATATAGAGAGTACATTACTATCTACAAAGTAGGTCTTATTACAAGCTGAGGCTTGTGACGTTCATAGCTTATGGAATCATGATATTATTAATAAAGATTACTAGAGCATTAAACTTTAAAAGATTGACACATTTGTTTGTCTTTTTGACTTATTAATACATTGCATTAGGAAGAGGAGGACGAGAGATCGGAGAAATGGAAAATTTTCCTTGAACAGCATATGCAATCTGCCCAACCATGCTTTTCTGAGGAGGAAGATGAAGCTACTGGGTTCAAAGACAAGACTCCTTCAGAACCTAATAAGTTGAAAGAAGAGACTGATGCTAAAGAGGAAGGCAAAGTGTCATTACTGGTTGAAACTACTGAGTTGAAAGAAGAGGTTAGTTCAGTGGAGGAACGCAAAGAAACGTCACAAACCGAACCTATTAAGTTTAAAGAAGAGGTTGCTTCTGAGGAGGAAAGTAAAGAGGCATCAAGGACTGAAGCTTCTGAGTTAAAGGAAGAGCCTATTTCAGAGACAAAAGAGGAAGGGGATGCTTCAAGGGGAAAGCCTGATTCTGCTGGTTCAACAGACTACGAAACCAAAAAGGAGGTTCAACTTTCAGAAGAAAGAAAAACACGTAAAGTCCAGAGAAGATGGGCTCAGGCTAGACCATCTCTTCGTTCTATTGAGAATATGATGGGCTTACGTGTAAAGAAGGTAGAGAATATGAAAGATGAGGAGGTGAATAGAAGTGAAGGCTGTCTTGCATCGATAAAAGAGGCAGAACAATCAGGAGGGGAATCTGAAGGTGAGTTTGAGGAGAAGGTCTGTGTTAATGAAATGTCAGACAACCATGCGAATGTATCAAAGGGAGAAAGTGATCCAGATGTTGGGCCTCAGGAATATTTCTTTTCTTGGAAACAGGAGCTCGAGAACCTTGTTCTTGGAGGACTGCCAAAGGATCTCAGGGGAGAGGTGAGTTACACTGTTAAGTTTGGTATTCTCATATTAGGGTGATGTATGTGTGGATTGTGGAAAAGAAATTAAAAAAAAGAAGGAAAAACCTAACTACTATTAGCCATTACAGCTATGGCAAGCCTTTGTCGGTGTTAAGGCAAGGCGCGTGGAGAGATATTACCAGGATTTGCTAGCTGAAGAAACTGCTGATGGTGAAAATAATGAACAAACTAACTCAGCTGGTTTAGCCAGAAAATTGAGAAGGCAGATTGAGAAGGTCAATAGATGCATGCGCCTAGGACTTTATCATTCAAACTTTTTAATTTGTAGGTGCTATATCTTTTGTTTCATATTGTAATTCAGATTTCTCACTAGACTAATTCTTTATTTGCTTTGCAGGATATACCACGAACATTTCCAGGTCATCCAGCTTTAAATGAGGATGGTAGGGATTCCTTGAGGCGTTTATTAATTGCATATGCCCGGCATAATCCCTCTGTTGGGTACTGCCAGGTAATTGGTAACCTACGAGTTTATTTTCTTTGAAGTTTTTTTCATCGGCCTTCATTTTCTATGAAGTTAGTTCACTTGTTGCTAGTGTTTCCACTATCTTCAATGGATGTCTCTCTTTCAACCATACACTGCATCATGGAAACGTTCCTATCCTTTATCTCAAAATTCAACCCATCTCTTTCTAGAGTTTATGTCTTGTTGCTTATCTTAGTACTCTTCTGTTCCTTAAATCAATGTGAGAGTTGTTTAATTTGTTCTAATTTCTTAGGTTTCATTGATGATTTAGAAGTACAGCACACAGAGGTAATAAATCTGTTGATTGAAAAATTTTAAGACCTCAAAACAACTTGGAGGTTCTAACACCACCATTTTGTTCTGTTAGTACCTTAAGCTTGAACAAATTAACCATAGAGCTTACCTATAGTGCAACTAAATGAGGTTTTTCTCCTTCTGAATCCATTTGGTTGGTAATAGTAAATTTTTCAGTTACAATCCGATATTTTTGAAGTCCAGTAGGGCATGCAAATAAGTTTTCCTCATAGAAGCTGTTTCATTGGACCCATTATTAGATTATGATAGGATGAGTTTAAAGTTTTATCAAGTCTCAATTATCTTTCTATACATGTGATTATTATTTCATGACATCCTTGCTATTATTTTTTACTTAGTTTGAAATCAAAACAAATGCAGGCAATGAATTTCTTTGCTGGACTTTTGCTGCTTTTGATGCCTGAGGAAAATGCCTTTTGGTAAGTTCAGGTAGCTTTTCCAAAAAATGGTTAATTAAATTCTGGAAGGTGTATGATTTTTACTTTCCCCCTTAAATGGTTCTTTTTAAGAAACACTTACCATTTTCCACTTTTATCTTACTAATTAACCCAAAAGTGCTGTCTTATATTCTGGAAAAAGGTTTTTCCTCTAATCATGATGTCTAATAATTTTAGTTTAATTATTGTACAACAGCATACCCATACGAATGCATTGATTCATACTTTTAATATTAGATAGTGGGGTTGGTTTTACAGACTGGTTTTGTTGATGGAATTTCTCAGGACCTTGGTGGGCTTTCTTGATGATTATTTTGATGGATACTATACTGAGGAAATGATAGAATCACAGGTTTGTTCTCACCATATCTTTAACAAATATCTCTAGCTGCTTCCTAATTTGGCATCTATCCTCATGCTCACTAGGATGCAGATAGATTCCTCAGTTTTAAATCACCATTCTAGATTCATTCTGCTATCTTGTTAGGTGGACCAACTTGTTTTTGAGGAGCTGATGCGTGAAAGATTTCCTAAATTGGGTTTGTTTGCTTTAACAATTAAAATTTTCAGTTTTAATTATCTTATTTGGTAGTATACGAAACGGTATGGAAACATTTTTATTCTGTTTATGCTTTTGGTGCAGTTCATCACCTGGATTACTTGGGAGTGCAGGTGGCATGGATATCTGGACCCTGGTTTCTTTCCATTTTTATTAATATGCTTCCTTGGGAAAGTGGTAAGATTTAAGTGGTGTAAATTGGTAAACCATATCTGAAACTGATTTTGTGGTGTTGTCCTAAATTGCTTTCTGATATTAAATTTATAAGATTGGCTATAGCGTTAGAATGATGTTTATCCTGTAATTGATTTGTTTTTCCTCAGTTCTTCGTGTATGGGATGTGCTTCTATTTGAAGGAAATCGTGCTATGCTATTTCGAACAGCCCTTGCTTTGATGGAGTTATATGGTACTGGGACTTTATAATTATAAAAGATGTCTCTAGTTAATGTGCATGACAAAGCAGTTAATCACATTTAATTTCCTGCAGGTCCTGCGTTAATTACAACTAAAGATGCTGGGGATGCAATTACTTTACTGCAGTCTCTTACTGGATCTACCTTTGACAGCAGCCAACTTGTTTTGACTGCTTGCATGGGTTTTTTGGCTGTAACTGAGGCTAGATTGCAAGAGTTGAGAGAAAAGCATAGACCATCTGTGCTAGTTGTTGTTGAGGAAAGATCAAAGGGAGGTCGAATTTGGAAGGATACAAAAGGGCTTGCAATGAAGCTGTATAGTTTTAAGCATGATCCTGAATCACTGGTAGAAGAAAAAAAGGCTGCTGAAGGTCATGGTGATGCATCTAACTTGGAGAAGCGTTCTTCTTCTAACCTGGATGAATTGCTTAGTGGCCTCAATTTAGAAATAGATTCACTACCAGACCTTCAAGAACAGGTAGCTTACGTTGCCTTCTTGGCACTTATGACTGATGTTCTGGGAAGCAATATGCCATGATGCTTGTTTTCTTTGTAAGAGTCTGCATGATACAGACTCTATGTTTGCTTTACTGATTTAGTTAGGTCTGTGAACTCAAATGTTAATCTAATATCAAATAGCTTCTCAATTTAACTTGGTGATTACTTTAGCTGCCCCTGTTAGGTGATAAGAACTTGGACAATTGCATGGACGAAAGGGTTATCTTTTAGTACTTATTGGTGCTTTAGCTTTCCATTTATTATGGATGATGCTTTTTGAGATATTACTCAATATAGAAAGATTAATTGGAGGTCCATGACCAGAAATGCCTGAAGTCTTAGAATTTTTAGACACCTGGCCTATGGCTTCATCTTGCAGAACAGCAGGATATGAACTTTGAAGAAAATTCTGTTATTGTACAAATCTGCCTTAGTAGATCACCATGGATTTCATATATGGTAAACCTGACCAAATTTAATAATTATAGTTATCAAAGTTATTTAAGCTAGAAAAAGGTATCTACACTGTTACATTTGCAATTAGTTGAAAGATAGGAATGATCCTAAGAAACTCCTTTTAAATTTCAGCCATTAACAGCTTATGTGCAGGTGGTCTGGTTGAAGGTTGAGTTGAGTAGGTTGCTGGAGGAGAAAAGATCAGCTATACTTAGGTTAGCACATTACCTGGTTAACAGCGTTTTTTTTTTTTTCTTTTTGAAGTAGAATTCTGTTTTTCCTTTTCATCTGGGTCCATTTAATTGGTGAAGATAGTGCACGAAAAATGATAATTAGGCAAAACAAGTACTTGCTGGTATATTAGAAAAATAAAAATAGGCCCTCTAGTATAGAAGCAACTCATTCTGTCATTAGTTCTCTAGTTTGTTGAATTCAAGATTGATGTATATGGGTTCTGGGACTCAACAGTTTGACCTTTTCATTGAGAAATTTTCATGTAATAGGCCTGTTTGATGCTGTTGCAA